TCTGTACTTTGAAGAGCGTTGTAATAGGTCAGGCTAATGAAAATGGAATTACGAATGTTGATAGAAATATCAGAGTTTTGCTTCCGTGTTTCCAAAAGGTTGTGAAATTGTTTACCACAAATATATATCTCGTCGTTTTCTCTTTTTTTCTTTTTTTTTTTTAGCGCTATAGTCTTGCGCAACAAGACTTTTTTTTTTTGTTTTGTGGCAGGTTGTTGAAGACAAATAAATAAAGCATCAATTAAAAATAAATAATTGTTTTTCAGAAATGATGTATCAGCTCGGGTAGGTAATTACACGAACTTTGATTTGTCGAAGTCATTTAGTTTTTGAATACTTTTACTTGTTTATAAAAAAAGTTTATATAAAACTGAAAAACAAAAAACAAAAAAAACCCCAAAAAACGAAGCTGTCAGTGTGTAAGGTAGCAAACTCTTATCTAAGATTTTTCTTTTCAGATTCGGGTGTGTTTTAGCGGTTCATGATCAAGCGTATTTTATTTAATATTATTTCTGTATTTTTATAAATTATCCAGATTTTATTCACCAACATAACTCTCCGACGTGACGGTACTGTGGTGGCGCTGTCGTCCGAACTGCGCGCATGGGCGGAGTCTTCACCTCAGGCGAATCGGGTCATGGTGCGCACCCCCAGTTTGTAGACGGCGTGTTGCTGCATACTCACCACTGTGGTCATCGACAACTTAAGAAACGGTGGGCGGCGCCTGCTTGTACAAGATATTCAGAAATAGTATTTAAGAGGGAAACTCCGCTTCATTTTTGTTTTTGGAAAAAAAAAAAGCAGTCCTCTTCAGTGTCGCATAGGAAGACCACACGTCACATATTACGACGTAGTTCTGTCTAAATGTTTCTTAAACGGTCCGGCTAACTTTGCAACTCGGGCGAGTTTAGGCGTAACCAACAGCGCAGTCAAGGCTACGGCGTGAGCGTAGCCAACATTGAGTTAAACGTCATTACCATTGCCCTCTTTTGCTTGTTTTTACTTCTCCGGTCAAATGCAACGGGTGACATCAGCAACGTTTCCTCTCGGCGCTCAGCGGTGTCCACGTGATTGGCGTAAAGCGCCTGCGCAGTGCGCTTCTTGGGAGCCGTTCGGCCACCTCGCCGTGGTCTCACCGTTACCGCCGCCTCCCGCGTCAGAACCACCGCCGTCGTCTCACCGTTTGTGATTATTGTCTCTTGAAGTTTCGTCACCCACTACGGACACTACGTGCGCAGACTTTTTGCGCAGTTGCGCAGACGTCGTTGATTGTCGTAGACACCAAAACATGGTGAAGGGTGCCGTGCAGACGATACTTGCGCCAGGCACACGCCCACACCGATCCCGCCCGTCGTTGCCTAGAGGATCACGTGATATCTCGTATCATGTTCTTGGCGGCCCGAGGCCAATGTAGTCGAACGGAGCCGAAGTTTCGGTTTCGATTTCTGCGTGTGTTTAAAATTAGACTTAAGAAGATATATATATCCCATTTTTCTCGGGGCAAATGACGTTATGATTATACTGCCATTAAATGCAAAGGTGAAAGCCAGCTGGACGAGAATGACGAACATATTCCCTGGAGAAGGGGAAGAAGAGGGGCAAGGACAAACACAAATCTCCAAACACAGCTAAGTGACTGGTATGCGACCAAAAAAATCCACCTAGTCCGGTTTCGGTCGCTCACCAGTCACCTAGCTGTGTTTGGAAATTTGTGTTTGTCCTTTGTCCCTCTTGTTCTCCTTCTCCAGGGATTATTTTCGTCATTCTCGTCCAGCTGGCTTGCACCTTTGCATTTAATTGCAATATATAACCTTAAATTGCAAGCTTCACCCTTGTTGCTGTTAGACTGGTGGCGGCTGATAAAACCCGTTTGCTCTACTGACGTCTAACCCCTGGTTAACGCTCCACTAGAAATGGAGAGGTCCCGGGTTCGATACCCGGACCAGGCGAATATTTTCGGTCGCGCACCAGTCACCTAGCTGTGTTTGGAGATTTGTGGTTGTCCTCTGTCCTTTTTATTCACATTCTCCAGGGATTATTTTCATCGGCAAATGACGTAGTGGCTTTTACTAGAACTTTTTATAGCGAAATCACTCCTTTTCCCAAAATCTTCGGATTTGAGCGGAGTTGCCCTTTAAGTTGCGTTACTGAGTACAAGCTTGAAGTGTAACTGAGTAGAGTGCAAAATACTCAAATCTCAAAAGTTTCTGGAATACTAAATACAAAGTTCAAAGTGTTTTTCCAGTTCACCGTTAAACAACTTCAAAAGAAACAAAAATGAAAAAAAAACGCCATTACCAAAACGCTTTATTGGCTCGTGGGAACAGCTGTTTATTAAAATATGCGTCCAACAGCTCACAGTTTTTTTATGCTTGTTTATGTTAAACAGGCCCTCCCCGTATTCGCTCGACGGTACATCGATCGACGTTGCGCTTAAGGGAAAGCTCACGAACCGTTCGATCTCTTCGGCACCTTCCGGTGTGTCAACATCGTTGGTCATCTCCATCCCATCCTCGAAAAGTTGACAGTCCACTTGATTAAATTGTGGAGTTGACGGTTGTTTGTTTGGATGGCACTGTCACCGTCTAGGTGACAGTACCATGTCTCTTTCTAGGTTCTATAGGCCTAAAAGGATTACCGGTCTTTCATGAGTTCAACTTCCTAACAGCCTTTTGTATCTAAGCACTTCGCCACATTTCTTCCTGCTTATGAACGGCTTGCACTTGGCTGGGAAATAAGCACTTTAGCCGCAGCCAGTCAGCTACATCTCCTTGGCAGCACAAAAAATATTTCTTCGCTACTGGGAACTATTTTTTTGCCACAAGTTGATAGAGAATAGAGAAACCCCTAACTTGGCGGTACAAACGTGGCATTCCTAGAGGGGTAAAATCGGCGTAGTACGGGTTCGCTCCAAGTTAGTACTTAAAGTACTTTTATTTGGCGTTTTTCTGGTTTCTCCCTCGCTCGTCACATAATTGCACAAGTGCCAGTCTTGAGCCAAAGATGCCACGTATGAACAGAAGAGCCAGCGGTGAAGACAAAATCTGACACTTTTCTGGTAATGTGGACCCAAAGTTCCACATGACAACAGGACAGCAAGAATTTGAGGCTATAGCTTAGCCATTTGTTTGGCTACTTAGGGCCAAGCTACCCAGACTCTGGCCACAGAAGATCAAGTTTAGCTCTACCTTGTTTTTTTCGGGGTAATATACGACCCTAACTTTCCAGACCAAAAATTAGAATGCTGGCCCAAAATCTATTTTACCTGGGTAACATTATTAAAAGATAAAAGAGTATCTTTCGTCAAAAATGAGCGAGTAACAAATCGTTAAATGCTGTTAATTAAGCACAAAATCAAGTTAAAATAACGAGCAAGTTAGTAATAAGAATCACGTCTCTAAAGAAACTAGCGATCCCATATTAATGACGCTGACACAGACAATACAGTATTATAGAGTTATTATAATATACGCAAGAGGTTTAGCTAGGGCTATTAGGCTTGCAAATTGAACCATACAGCAACCAGTCGAAAATTTAATACCGATAATGCATTCCAACAAGGAAAGGCGGGTGCATTCCTTTTTCTCTGCGCTTCATTATAAGGTCCAATATTACGAATAATTATAACGTAATAAATAGCTTGGAACATTTTTCAATCATGTAAGTGAAAGTATTGGTCAGTTACAGAGCTTCGTTTTCAGATTCATGTGATTAAACACAGCGCTGAAACAGCTTCATACATGTATTTAAGTGCATTGCCGGGCACTATTAGCGCAAACACGGCGTCGGCGCTTTTTTGCATGGGAGATTTACGTACTAAGCGAACGAAGGACATGTGGAAAGCCAAGATAGATGGCAAGAACTACGCAGTAACACTACACCAGTAACTCCCTGTGCATGCAGACGATCAAAATAAAATGAAGGCCAAGTTAATGTAGTTTGATATGCAATAAATAAATATTGACTTATTCCCTCGGTTCGTGCATATGTGCGAAGATGTTTGGTTTGAGTTCGAAACATCGCCCGCACATTCGAAATCTTTAAAAAAAGAAAAGGCCAGAAAACAGGTGCCCTATAAAAGCACAGGAAATAATAAAAAAAGACGCCTTTCAAAGCCCACATACTTTATTCTTTATGTTTTGAATGTTTTAATGCGAAAGTGTTAACTATCCCGACAACGTCTCTAACTGAAAAAAAAAAAAAACCGCCAAAGAAATGCCTATTTGGCTATCGGCTGAGCAAAGCGGCTCCTACATAGCCATTGGCGGCCACTTTACGAGAGCGTGCGCTCGGGCGCTGCTGTTGTGTCAGGCGTTGCCGGAGTGTGTGTGTTTGGGGGGAAGGGGAGGGGGTTAACTATCCCGCAATGCCACTGTGAAGCGTGCGGCTCACCCAGAGAGCTCCCAATTCCGCGACCCGCGTATTCGCGTGCTAAGGAGCCTAGAATTGCACATGTGCGCCACTCGGAGGACGGTGCGCCTGCCTTTCTCTCCTGCACATGCGCATACGTTCTGATGTTACGACCATAATATTTAGAGGGGGACGACTTCAAGAATGGTACCACATTTAAAATATCGGTCAGTGAGCCAAGCACTCAACACTAATATCACGTGGCCGACCTTCCAAGCCTGTTAGACTACAAGGGGTTCTTGATTGTCAGAAATGAAACAGCAAACAATAAATCAAATTAACATAAAACGTTTTAGTACTAGTCAATTCGAGCGTGTTGTTATAATGAATATTTAGAAATGGAAAAATAAAAACATAAAAAAAACGTACACGAACGACGACACCCTTTCGAATAGTAACGACGTTTGTTGCTATTTGAAAAAGTGTGCTCGTCCGTGTACGTCTTTTATGTTTTTATTCTTTCGTTTTTATATAAAACGTTTGTTCAGGGGCCAAGCAGTCTACGCCAATATCGTGTGATCAATTTCCTAATCGTGTTAGAATAAAAGGGTTTTTGATTGTCAAACGAAAACAACAAACACAATTTTTTTAATGCATTTATTAGCTTTTTTTTACTTCGCTAAAACGTCCATGGCAGTGAACACGTCCAATAAAGCCTTTATCACGTTGTCTTGCGGCTTCCGCGGCGTTACGTTCGTTCTAGAGGTTACAGTTGCTGCTCAACTCTCGCACTGTCCCTTCGTGTCGGTACTTATCGAAGAAAATGCCTGCTCACGAAGAGCGGCCGAAATAGGGTTGAACGATGATGTCGACGGAAAATGATGCTCAGGGCGGGGTGCAGTCGGAAGAGGGAACGACGTAGCTCTTGGCGAACTCCAGGGTGTCGTTGTAGTGGTGGAGGTTGGGGCCCACGAGCTCGTGCTGCCGGTCGTAGTTGTAGTCGCCGCAAAGGCCGCACAGCTTGCCGCGGTAGAAGTTGGCGGTCTGAAGGCAAAGAAAGACGTGGGTCATCGTGAGACCATCTTGTTTGAATTCATAGGGAAGGCACCACGAAACTCTACTGTTGACAAAAAAAAATTGATGGCGAACTAGAGATTAACAGGCAAGTTTTGTGCCTCTTAAATGTATGTCGTTCGATTTGTTGAAGTTGTTATCTTGCTAGCTAATAGGGCTTGGTGTCTTCTCTCTTTGGCGGCCATGATATTGTGGTTTGTAAAACTGGCCTTCTGGCTGGTTCACAGCACTTGAGAGTGCTTACGACCGAGGGCCTTAAAGCGTCTTAAGATCCTCTATGCGGAGATAACACACTACCACCATTTATCGGGTAGCCGTTGAACATTCGGCATTTTCGTATATTTCCTAAGTTTTCGTGTATCATTATTTTTGTCGTTTAAAAAACTTTTGATAACGTTAAAAACGGCCATTCGTCTTAGATAATACGTGTGTTTGATTTTAACAATACTGCAATACCCTCGCCGTACACTTAAATGCCGCTCCAGGGTCACTTTATTGGTGGTGCCATCAGGGCCAGTGTGTCTTTTCCATCGTAAGAAATTACGAGAGCTCGTTCCTTAGCAAACGCAAGAGTGTGAACGAGCTTTTAAAACGGTGCATTGTTATCAATCAGCATTTTCTCATGATATCTTGGGACGGATATGTATACAATGAGCACTTGTGTGTTGATTAAATTCCATCTTCGATGCAAAATAGAGTTCGTAGTTTTCTCACCTGTACGAAGAGCATGTTTCCGTTGAAGCCTAGATTGAGACCGTATGGCTTCGACGTTACTTCGAAGTATTTGTTTTCCAGCGTGACGGTGAAGAGCTCGACTTCGTGCGCGGTGTGGCTGTAAGGTACTCCCGGGGTCAGTGGAACTCTGTTTCCGTCAACGCGGAGCACAAGACCGGAGTCTTCGGCAACTGGCAGGAGCTCGACCAGGGTGGACTGGATGAATGCCTTCAGCGCCTGCGATAGAATCACGAAAGAGCGCGTGTTAATAACTTTGTTAATAATTCTGTTAGCAACTGTTAATGACTGGGTTCAGAGAAAAAATGACACAATCTTTATCACGCCGACGAAGTCCGTGTAATACAGGACCTTTTTTTTTGAGCGCAAACCACCTTCTTGCAGATCTACCTCTCGGAAATTGACGTCACGGGATCAGGTAACTTGACGTGGTCATGTGACTTGACGCAGTATTACCTATAATCGGTGAAAGGTCAAGAACGAAGTGGAAGCTTCTCCCACCCCTTTCCACTTCAGCGGAGCGAACGGTGGAGAGGAGGTTGCATGTTCTCTAGCGTTCGCACGACTAAAGTGGAAAGAGGTGGGAGGAGCTTCCACTTCGTTCTTGACCTGTCCCCGATTATAGAACTAAATTTTATCACTAGCGGATCAACGCAGCTCTACCTAGCTTGTTTCGGCTTCGCCACCAGAGTGTATCGCAGCGTCCCACAACAAAGGTGACGCTAAGACGGACGCGTCTGCCTCTTGTGAAGTTTCAGTGTGTTCGCCGCTAGGGGCGTGTCGGAGCTTCGTTAGGACCCGGTCACACGGAGGCAACACGACGGTAACAGCAACACATGTTGTCCAACGGTCGGGCAACATGTTGTTCGGCAACAAAAACAGCATCAACTTGTTTTGGGCAATGTGTGTTGTCCTGATTGTTGGCTGAGCGAATTTCGGGCGGGAAACACAACACAGATTGCTGCATTAGCAAAGCCAGTTTCCTATCAATAAAGTATTACACAAATAATTTCTTTGAAAACGTTATGTAACAATAAGTAAGACTGGTGTGTAGCTAAAATAATTAGATGTACCCTTTTTACTGCGTAACTACAGAAAGCGACTGTAGAAGTTGTCACAGCTACGGTCGTGAACGTTCATAGTGGTGTTGAAATTAGAACTGCCTAGAGACCAGCTCACATTACTGCAAGCGAGATAAAATGGCATGCCTACTTACCCGCTGATAAAGTATTATAAAAATAGTCCAGGAAAGCAAAGATTAAAAAAAAAAAACCAAAGCATTAAATCGGCCGCTCTGATCCTGATTGTTGATGTTTGGAACTTGGACACAGCCACGGTCAGACATCTGAATAGTTTCAAAAATCCCCAGGACGTTTTGGGGAATGAAGCGACCTTATAGCAGGTGGTAGGCAAATAAACAGCGATGAAAAAAATTTTATTTCAGCGAGTGTTATGAAGGCCGATCGTGTCGGTGTCGCGATTTTTTAAGCACTGTAAGTTTAGCTCAACACTACGCCACAAAAAACGCTTTGGGCACTGCCGGTGCTAACTCAATTTTACAGTAGAAATAGGAACAGCATGAAAGAATCGGACAGAAACACTTCATACGGTGGCGTAAATCTCGAAAATATATCAGCGATGTCACTTTCCCCGGTTAGAAGTATCTACTTTGTCAGCGAATGAAGAACATTTCGATAAAATATAAAGAGTGGAAAATACTCCCCGTGTCAAGTTTTCTAATCGCAGTCACTGGTTGATGTCGTACCGTGGTAATTCTCGGCCCTTCGAACGCACTAGCACTTTGTAGACTCACATTTCCATCGACGCCGCGCCGCACACGAACGTAGGTAAACGACCAAGATGGCGGAGTGTTTCCCGTGTTGTCTCCGCCGTCAGAGCGGTGTGACACGGTGGTCGGAAAACAAATCGGTCAACACGGTTGCCGGGCGACAGCAACATGTTGCCCGACTGGTGTTGTTGCCACGATGTGACAGTGTCGCCGGCCACACGATTTCCTCGCGTTGCCGGATAGGGTTGTCCAACTGTTTGTTGCCTCAGTGCGACAGGGCGTTTAAGGATATGTCATGCGCAGGCCGTGTCTTTTAGATGATATTGCTTGAGGTCCCATGACGTCACTTCTAAATTGAGCGGAGAAATCGACGTGATGTTTCTTCATGGCGATTCCTCGTTACGGTTCTTCATGACGTTTTTCTCATGGAATTCGTCTTATAAAACACATCTTGTGTTAGAGCGTCCAACTGAGTGTGACTCCTGGAGTAAATGTGGATTCACATGCTTGCGCTGTGCCTCCAGTCGCATCTGACAGAGCTGCTGCCACAGCAACCCGCAAGATGATTAACGTTGCAAGCCGTTGCAGTGGGACCCAACGCAAGTGTGTGAATGGTCAGGGGCACCGAGCTGCGCGGTTTGCCCGGAGCGAATCGAAGTGATGTACCTTGGGGAGTTCGGCGTTTCCGGTAGCCCGTGCCAGGACCGTGAACCTCTTGTTGGGCGAGCAGTCCTTGGCGACCACCTTGTAGCAGTCGGTCTCCGGCAGCTGCACGACGACGTTGTCGAAAGTCCTGACGCTCTGTCCTTGCAGATCGCAGTATTCTGCGTTTAGGAAGAAGAAAAAGAAAAAGAATAGAGGATATTTTTCAGACGTCTGATGTTTACGATGAGCAAATATCGGGGATGTAATTCTGATTTCAGTAAGCCATGCATAGGAATGACTCAGCCAAACCCTATTCTGTATTAATATTTGTCCTGAGTGTTTTAATATCTAGAGGGTATTTTTCTTTCTAAGCCTTACAGATGTGTTTAACGAAAGCTGTGAAAGCTAAATTAATACGGTCTGTGCAGTTGAGGTATACTTCCAAGCGGACATCGTATAGGGGGCTAATCGTAACGATCAGTCGGCTACCTAAGCAATGTTTGAAATTAACTTTTTTGGGAAAATAGAGTAATGGTTCCAATTAGAAACTTGGTGAGTGTCATCCAAAACAACTAAATCAATCTTTTTCAGTAATACTTCGAACGCGTGGGAAGCTATAGTAGTGCGGTAAGGTACCAGTCGGGCAACAGGTACAAGGCTGGTGCTATCATAAGATACGGCAAAATCGCGGGCGCCTTATCGCGACGGTAGTCTTGCTCCTGCAGCACGAGTGGGAATTTTAGTGCAGTACTGCACTTCTTACGCTCTCAAAGTCTTCCTAAAATTTAGTGGTTTTTGATGATGCTCAACAAGTTTCTAATTCGAACCATATGTCTATTAGCCCTAATTAAAAAGTAATTAGCAAAATTTACTTAATTATCTGACTGATCGTTATGATTAGACCCCCATACTATGCTCCCCTGGCCATATAACTCGTCTGCATTAACCGCGGGAATGTAGCTTTCACTGCTTTTTTAAAAACAAATGTTGTAAATCTCGAAATAATGAAACACCATGTATATTGCCTATCTATAACGAGCTGAAATATCAGGTCTCATTGCGCAAAACTATACTGAAGCGTTTTATTTAATAATGCATTTCTAATAATTTGGAAAGACGCTTAATGATAAGCAGGTAACATAATGAAATTATAACGTTATTTGAAACATAGAGTATTATGATGATGCTTGGAACACTTTATTATGGTGTCAGTTGTAACATCATGCACTACGCTCTTCTTGAAATACACTATATCGTAGTGATTTTCATAAGAGCGGCCGAAATGCAGTTTTGAAGGTTTACCTGATTTCTTTGAACGTGGTTATGCAGGAACTACGGTATATATCAAACAAAATAGTCGGTTTCCCCCTTCCCAGCTATCGCATATTCAAATTCAAAGTTTAGCAAGTTCAATGTGATCATGTACCCGATAGTATGCGCACTCAGTCATGCGTAGAATAATACCTGCACTACATGGATGTGGCAGACTCTTTCCCAGTAGAACATCTGTACAGTATCTCCTAGCTAAGCGTGGGAATGTCTTTTTTATGGTTCGCCATCACGGGAATTTCATAGGTAATGATAGCAATGTAGGGTTTTATATAGCTTAAAAGAACGTGGCGTAATTTGACTTGAGGTAGACCACCTCGACTTGAAAACAAAATTTAGCGAAAGAATATGACCGACCGTCGCAACCAAGGTGCGTAAGAAAAGCTTACTCTGTTTGTAGTAGGAGATGTAGTGAGCCATGTTCGAGTACCCTAGCGTGGAGAACATGATCCTGGGCTCGAGCAAGTGGCTGTAGAGCGGCACGTGGGAGTGGTTGTGGGAGTGACCGTCCTCCGTGGTTACAACGATGTCCGCGTAGTCCTGAACAGGAGGCACTTGAGAGACGACGTGGAGCTTTCCGTTGGGTCCATGGAAGTGGGACACTACGGTGCTCAGGAAACCTCCCTCGGGGTGGACCTTCTTGTAGTACTTCGTTAGCATGGGGAGCAACTGAAAACAGATAGTCAGCATCATGATATTAAACCTGAAAGAATGCAGAGATTACAAATGTGCATGCAAAATAACGAGGAATGCACCTCGATATGTATTTTTTAAAAAAAGCAGACCATGCGTTGAGGATAGAAAAAAAAATTTAATTTTAGGTTGAGCGTGGCACATGTTGCGTGAAAACAACTGACCGTTTAGGTGGGTGAATCATATTACTATGAGCATCTATTAAGATGTTCCAAATGAAACGAGGAAGCAGATAACAAGGATGGGAAGCTCACGCATTTTTCACGTTAATATCTATTTAAATGCTATTGCTAATGCTGTGTCAATGTCGAGCAATCCAGCAAGATAACGGATTGTAAACAGAGCATTCTTTTGGCTTCGGCGCTTACGGATTCCCAATTGGTAGGTTCAAATGACGACTGAGGCGTCCGGTTGCAATTGTTCATTCTCTCAAATATGTCTACGTTTTCGGTGGTCTAAATAAATACCGTCTTTCGCTCAGTCACCCGACATGCTCCTCGCTGGTTTGGTGTGTAAAACTCGGACTTTGATTGTCATTTTCGTGATTACGGTACACCATTCTTCAAGTTTAAAAGAAGAGCCTCGTTATCAACGAAGCATCAAAATATAATGGGTACCAATTGGCAGAACAATTTTAAGGTCACCATTTGCATACCTTCATTAAAAGAAATAAAATTAGCCTGTTCCGAAACAAAATAACCTAGGAAAACTGAGGAAAATATATCGAATTGCTTCTGTTTAGTACACTAGCTTACAAATATGTGCATAAGCAATATACACGAATAAGGCGCTGCGTATAATGAATTATCTCACTACCTTAAGGCCTAAGGTTACTTTGTTACGTATTTCGGTATATGCCTAGTTTGACACGTATATTAAAGATTACAGCATACGCAGGCATAGTCATTTATTTTTCTACGGTGTGAACACACATACTTATGTAGAATACGTTCAATGTATTCCACCTAAGGCTATTCTATAAACATACATTAGAAATCCCAGGTTGGTCAGCTTTGCAACCACCTTGCTCACCGGCTTCAGGTTCTTGTACTCGACGTCTGTTGTGAATTTACCCAGGCGGCTGGTGTAGTACAGGTACTTCATGCAGTAAAGGTTTAGTGGAACGCCACGCTTCTGATGCTCGGTGCATTTGTTGAACGGATCTCGGAGGTTATACTTGTCCATTCGGTTGATTCCCCGCGGCTTGCCTTCAGCGTTCTCTCGAATCTGCCTTTCTTCGTCATCCGTGTGAGTATATTTTCCCTTGAATGTGATCTATGAAACAGTGAACATTTTGAATTAGAAAGATATTGTGTAATATTGAACAGTACTGTTTTACGGCGTTGCTTTTCTCAATCCAGTTCCAGCAAGATAAGTACTTGGCAATTAGGGACAGCTTTAAGGTAACAAATTAACAGTGGCCATGTGGTTGGACACGAAATTTGTAAGTTTGAATATGCCGTGGATCGCAATTTTTTTTTTTATTTCTTGCGAGTCCTTATGAAAGCGTCCTAAGTTTTGTTGTAGGGGCCTGCCTCACTTATTTGCTTCGAAACCCGGAAACGATGCTGAAGTTATTAGGGGTAAGCAACACTTACGCTAGACTGGTCTACGCAGTTGCTTCCGTAATGAAGGTTCAGCTCAGATTCCAGATCCTTGCCCTCGTGGAAAACGGCGAGGTTCTTCAACTTGGACCACTCGGGCTTTGGGAATTTAGACGTGACATCCATGCAGACCTGCGAAAGCACCTCAGTGTAAGAGACACCTCGAGTTTCTGGCAAAAGTTTCTGAGTACCTTAGTGTGGACTTGCTCCTTTGGGTGGAAGGGCGTCCGGTCATAGAAGAACTGCACTTTGTGCTTGAGGTTGTCCTTGGTAAACGAGTACCTCAGTTCTGCGGACGCCTTGCGCTCCTTGGAGCCCTTCAGAGTGTAGTCGAGGCTGAGCACATGGGTGGAAGGAACCTCGGCATCTCCGCCGACGTTGTCCTGAACGGGGAAGTGGCTCTCTCTTGCGTCATCGGGTTCGAGGAACTTGTAGCCGAGATCAACCTCTACCTGTTGGAGTCCAATAAAAGAGATGCGATCAGATAAACAAATAGTTTTTGGCATTGTAATGTACGAGTTTGTGTTTACTGGGTCGTGATAGAGAGAGAGCAGTTATTTTTTATTTTATCTAGTTACCCCACAACCCGGCGAACCGGGGTTGTCCAAGAAAACGGACCCGTTATAGTCAGATGTAGCTTATAATCATTTTATCAGTCTTTTATATTACTCATTTGGCAGCCGTTCATGCCTCATTGGCCACCGTCTTGAACGTTATTCTTAATTAAAAATGTATGTTTTGGTAGGATGGCCATCCTATTATCAAAACTTGCGTGTATTGTGGCAATACAAATTGTTGCCAGTGCAGACAGAATCAGTGATCTCTAAATACTAACCTCAGTCGTGGCGTCATGCTCAGCTGGAACGACGGTGAACTGCAGTTCACGGGGGTGCCACTCTGGATTCATGAGGGCATAGTAGTACCTCTGTCGGCAATCGCTCTCGTACCAGAAGTCGTGCAGTCCTTTCTTGAGTCCTTTGCTGAGGAGGCTACCCTTCACGTTCAAGCCATAGCCGAAGACGTCGGTGAGGTAGGTATGATCAATCTGAATGAGAACGCAGATGGAATATCAGGCTAGGGTGGATGAGCAGTATCTCCAGGCTAAGAAATTCGAAAGTCGAAATAAGAGTTATGAAGCTGTAATATGGTGTTTTTTTCTTTAATATGGCTCCATTGTCTACAGCAATGTCAATCAACACTGACAGAAATTATTTGGGTACTTGGTGAACCAGACTCGAATATGTTCTTCTGAGCTTTCCGGCGGCGTGCTCCACGTCCCTTTAGTTACCAACAATAAAGCCTTACCTCAGTTACTTCTTCCTTGTTGTAGAGGGGGTACTGAGGCTGCTCCAGTGTGGTGACAGCGTGGGACACATCTGTGGCGATGTCATAGGGCATGGTAAAGGTGAACGGACGGAAGTGGTGGTTCAGGACGTTCCAGGGCAGGCTCAGCGGGCGCTTCAGGCTCAGCGTCTTGTGAATGGGATCCACAGTGAGGTGTAGGTCGATCGGCAGGTTGAAGATGGTCTGGACGTCGGACCCCGTTCCCAAGGACGTCTTGTTAAAGGTCAGGCCCACGCCGACCATGGTGTAGCCACGGCTCTCGTGCCTAGGGGCATAGAGACAGTCATGATATTGTGCTGGACGGGTCCATATCACAAGAGCGAATGACATTTTAGCGAACGGCGACATTTGAGCGAATGGTCGTTTTAGCGAATAACGGGGGCGCGCGTTAACCCATCCGTCGCGCTGCGCTTTACGCCGCTTCGCGGCGACAGTCTGCGGCAACTCATTACAAAAATATGAACTCACTTGGCCCACCCAAAAACGCCGCTTCGCGGCGTCCGACTATTCGCTAAAGTGTCATTCGATGAAACGTGGGCGTTCGCTAAAACGTCATTCGATCAAGTGAGTGCCTCCCGTGCTGGACTAGTACGAGTTCAGTTCATAAAATGTAAAATATTTTTAAGTGTGAAGAAAATTCAGTTCGTTCGGACTAAAAAAAGGCCTACAACGCCCAGTTGCTTTAAATTTGTCGGATTAGCTCACTTAGACCATGACAATTCTCCTGCACGTTTTGTATCCTACTTTCGGTATTTTCAGTTCATATCGACTAAGGGAACATGGAGGGGTCACATTATAAAGTGTGTGTTAGCGCTTTTAATAATACCTTAAAATGGCACTTGGAGCGTGCCTTTCAAGCAAGCTGCAGTCGCTTTGCGGCACTATGGTCCCTGCAACACTTTTTCAAATGGTGTGTTTACAGCGTGTTAAAAAGTGATCCTTAAATTACCCTCTTAATGTCGTCATAGGAGTGTCATGCTGTTGTCGGTCGCGATTCTGGCGGTTTCACAGCCTCGGTGGTGAATGCGGCACCTCCTGCTGCACATCGCTCTTTAGCTTGAAAGTCCATGGAAGCTTCGGCATCAATAATTTGAGATTTCGCGATGACAGCAACACACGTACGCTCGTACTTTTTACCGTAACATCTAACATCAACACCCAAAAATCGCAACATCTAACGGCATGATATGCCGGCTCTTTTTTCGTCATTTGTTACCACTTCTGGAACATGCTTGATGATGGGATAGGACGTTAAACACATCAATCGAAGACACGTACTAGGTACCGAAATTGAGGTAAAGAGGGACACTTACACGTAGTGCCTCTGAACATCAAAAGTGAACTTGGCGTCTTCAGTCTGGTCCACGCTGAACTTCTTGCGGTTGATGTACGTAAATTCGGCTTGCTTGAAGTCGAAGAAGATTGGAACACCAACCTCGGTGGGCGCAACAAAGATTATGTCAGTGCTCAGGTAGAAGTTTTTCTTGCGCTGCACTTGTCCCAAGAGGTTCTTCAGCTTGGTTCCTGGTTTGTCTGCGAAGGCAATGCCAGATGGTTTTGACCAGTCAGATGTAGTTTGCACGTTTTGTAGTCAGGCACATCCTTGAGATTCAAATTTGTGGGTGATGTGTTTAAGTGCTGCAGTCGCTGCACGGCTCAAGGTTGTGGCAATTTCCAAGCATATCAATATTGTTCAACAGTTAATAAAATCACGATATTATTCGATATGGAGGCCGAAGTCCGAATTACGAAGTAAGAAACGTGAACGTGCCTTCAAGGTTTATCAGAGCCACCCAATGGGTGTGACAGTGCACAGGGCATGTGCTGTGCTTCAGATATTACTAGTGTTCTATCGTTTCCTTCACTGCAGCTATTAGACACAAGCTCCAATTTGAAGGGGAAAAAACAAAAACGCCGAGGTACTGTTTATAACCAAATGCAAGTCTAGTTCTCGTCCGGTGCTCCTCTAGCATGGAAGAGGCGCAATGAACTCTTTTTACCTTGGGGTGATCGACAGATCATGTAAAAATCTTTATTCTTATTACAAGCTCAGATTATATCCCCGTCATTACACCGTGAAAAAAAAAAAAAACATGTCTCGGGGGTGTTGTTTGCGACTATACCTGTTCACACCTGGTACAAAATAGTGGTGCGACGTTCCTGATAGCCATACTAAGCCTATATTTGTGGCCACTTTAGGTAGTAAGTGCTCCGTGAGCGACCAGGATGTCGATACTCATTTGCGGCACCGTGACGAGCCTACGCAGCGTAGAGAATAATCACAGGGTTGATTCTGCCGATAGCTCACAGAGTGATTAACTTTTTCTTTCTTTGCCACTGAATAACGATTGAGCCTGCTAGTTAAGGATCTCAAAACATACCGTCATATTCTGTATACTCACGACTAGTTCTGAGCGTCTCATTATCGTTCCGCAACCAATGAGATTTGGGCTTTATCTATAGGGTTCTTCGTTTTCGGGTAAAACCCGATATTACCCGATTTTTGCACCCCGAACAGTTTTCATGAAAATGGGGTAGAACCCGATTTCTCCGCAAATACCGGTCTTGAAATCAGCTGAATTTAAGAATAATAAGAACAATTTTAGATCTGCCTCAGAACTGTTTTCTCGGTCACTCGTTTGATGGTAACAAACCTCTTCGATTTGCGTTACCTTTGCATATATTCTCTTCGGAATGAGACAGAAGGCGGAAATACACTTTAAGATCGGGCACCACTGCTATATCATATACCTTGTTGACTTTTATTTGTGTAAATAACAAATTGCAAGTACTTGCCCTATATAAATAAAACCCGAGATAACCCAATTTCCTAATGGCTTCAGAAAGACCCAATTCCTCCCCGATTATCAGCCAGAAAAATAGCGCCTGATTTTTACCCCTAGATTTCTGAAAAATATAAAACCCGGAAACAAGGAACCCTAATTATCCAAACAGAAGGTCTAAAAATTAATCCCGAATCAAGGAGTGTGAATATAAAAATCACGCCCTACGTTTCCTTAGCCTGTCAGTTAATATAAAAGCTTCAAAGATTTTAAGCACTTGCCTTCTCCGTCTTCCTTGCCGACTTCTTTGAGAAGATCCTCGTCGAACTCCCAGCTGTCGATGGCGTGACCGAAAAGGTCGAGGTTCAGTCTGCCGTAGACGTGGTCGTACTCCCGATCGGTGACGGGAAGCTATGAAATTAGAGGAAGGAAAGGGATCGGTCGTCTTTCCTGCTTCTGCTCAAAGACTGGTTTAATACATAGTGGAAACCTTAATCTTACGTATAATGTTAATATTACGCACACGGCCTATTTTCACAGGTCGTCTATATGTACGTGTCTGTAAGCAAGCAAACTAAACAAAAACTAGCAAAACACTAAGGACAGATCCTGCTAATCTTAGTGCGAGGGTTTTCACATGAAATCAAGCTGCGGTTTAATATTCTTTTACTCAACATTCCGCTGGAGAAAGACAAACGTAAACAACACCTGTAGCACATTTTGCTCTGAAAATTCTTGCGTACTTTAGTTTCCTTGCAGATAAACTTTGTTAGTGCCACTGACAGCTTCAGCCAGTCTTAAGATTGGAGTGTTGGGCAGCTATGTTGTGTTCTTCAGTCACAGACAGTTATTGAGGTTCGATAATTCGGAAAAAGTCCACAAAAACTATATATGCCTCTAAAATGAGGCATTGGCATTGTGGCATAGCGAATAATTTTATACTCCCAATTTCGTTTTGTACGCATTATTACCTGTTTTGTTTTGCACATGAAACCGAAGCCAATGAGTTGCTACGCTGCCACCATTACGGTACACATTTTGATGGACAGCATTAATCTACTATTTTCGTCTGAAATCACACGTTGTGATCACAATCATCATAGCAAGGCTTTTACTCTCTCGCGCATAATGGACTTTCTACCACCTATAAAGGCCCCAACCAAGTGCGTTGTTTCGCTTGTACGAAATTGCGGGATTTTTAACTTTGTGAGTAGGAAACACTACACCTGACATGTACCGCCTCTCAAAGAGTATGTTTTAGAAAAAAAAAAAAAAAACATGTGTTTTATTTAATAAGATATCATTAAGAACTTGAAAAATTATGCACACATAAACAATTCCTGTGTATGTATGCATCCTTGGCTCATAAAAGCGCAGTCACTTTGCTCACAAACATCATACAAAAGGCATGGCGTTCGCTGTAGACACGAAGATAGAATTAAAGGGACCATGAAATGATTTTAAAATCGAGTTTCATCCACCGCACGTCGTAAAAGGTGTGAAAAGAAACACAAACACAAAAATAGGGAGCCAAAAAAATTATTTGCTATAGAACTTTTAAAAGAAAACTGGACTCTTTTGCGCCTTCCTTCCTTCGCCTGTTCACTACGATGCATCCGCGGAAATGGAGCACGTCAGCCAAATCCAGGTCGCCTATTGGGTAAGAGCCTACCTCACCAGCACCGCGATCGTAAACAATAAATAGCCGGCGAATGTTTCCTAAAAGTTTTGTTAAATAATATTCAGATCCACATTTTGTAGCATAATTAGAGATGTGTGGCGAAAATTGCCAAATTTGATAATGCTGAGAGCCAGGCGCCATCTATCGTGTGGTAAACGAAGCAACTACTGCGCGTGCGCAGTAGGGCAGGGCTGACAGTTACTTGGGTGGCGGCCAGCGACGAACGTTTATTTTCTTTGTTTTCCTTCCTCTCAAAACTCTGACTGACTGAACGTTTATTTTTCTACGTGTTCTTCCCGCGCGTGCCGACTTCAAGCAGCAAGAAAACAGTACTTAAAACAGACCACGACGAACAAGAACGCTGGATCCACCGACTCCGACGAAGCGTATAGGCCTAGCAGGCATTCCGACTCGGCGCTGCGTTGCTTCGTCGCAAGACCGTCTGCCTACGATCGGCTGGCGTGCAAAATGGAATATGCCCGCGCGACCCTTGTGGACCCTTCCCGTATTATAGTTTGATCACTGACCTCAATTCTAGATTAAGAGGTGAGGTCAATCTCTTCCCCTTGTTTTCCGAGGCAGTGTTGACGAACACTCGTCGAAAAGGGACTCTCGTCGATTCTATCTTCTTGTTTTGTGTGATATAGAGCTGAAATAAACGCCGTATGGATTACCTTCGTAACACGGTATGTACACTTTGTTATTGATATGCCATTTTTATTCTGACAGACTGCACGTCACTGTCGAGCTATAACAGTTCGTGGGAGGTATACGTACAACCCCGGTCCAACCTTTCTTTGCCGAGTGTCGCGTCAGTATCGAGTTGCAATCGTAAAAGAACGGTCCCGAAGCGCTTACAAACAGCGCGAATACAAGACTTCCATCAAGCGCGCGCGTCCGCTCCGAGTGTAAACAGGTATTTACGTGCTCTTGCTGACACTCGTAGCTCAAACGTATCTTTTTTAACGTCGGCTCGCTCCTGCATCTCCGAGGCCGCGAAAAACACCATCTACGTCGCTTTGCAAACGACTGACACGGGCCGGCCCTTCTGCCAACAATGACGGGGTGGTTGACTTCTGGAGTCTTCACCGGAAGACTCGCTGCACTTCCCAACAGGCATACCGGCGTATGAGACTAGTCCCATGCTGTCGCTGTAGCGCAACATATCTCACTGCACTTCCCAACAGGCATACCGGCGTATGAGACTAGTCCCATGCTGTCGCTGTAGCGCAACATATCTCATTGAATTTCGCTCAGCTGCGATGCGGCAATGAGAGGCGCCGATTCAGGAAATACGTCGGTACATCAGCGCAGTAAAACCTACCGGCGCACCCCAACTGGTTGCCGCTAACACTCCCATTCTCCTACTGCCGAGTCAACTTCCGGTTCCGGAAACGGCCTACGTCACGGCTTCTTTTGCGGTCAGTTGGAGAGAATGAAAAAGTCGATATTTCAATAATTTTTTGTGTAGAAGTTAATAAACCGAGACGAAAACGGATGCCTGTTCGGCATTCAGTGAACATTGACGGTTTAATGTAAAAGTTATCTGGAAAAAGTAAAATGGTCATTTCATGGTCCCTTTAACTGCGGCTTTCACTCAAGCGTTTTCAAAAAATAGACACTTAGGCTTTCAACATTTCTACAGACCATCTTTTTACCAACGCGACAGGACCGTCCTATTCAAGGAAGAAACCTTTCTTAGACATTGTCTGCTGACCGTCTTTTGCAGTACGTATTAGCCGCGGGTAACTGCGGCTAAAGAGGTACTCACCGCATCCTCGACTTCCTTGAGCTCCTTCGCCGACGCATCCCTGGTAAACCGACGTCGCCCAAAGACGTTCCACAGGTTCTTTGAGGATCCGGGCTGAGGTCCCACGACGTGGTTCAACAGCTTGTCCATACCCCAATTCTCAAACCACAAGGTAGCCGTGCTGAGGGAGTGACCGCTCATGTAGTCCTTGACGCTAACGTAGACGTCTCGTGGGAGGTAGCTGTCGTCAGCCCGGACCATACCGAAGGACGTGGCGCCACCGTAGTCGTACTTGGCTGTGGCGAGACACCAGAATAGACATTTGGCTGACCAGTTCCAGGCAGCACGCTAGAGAAGCACCTAACTTGCCACGAACTTGGCAATTCTAGGGGCCTTACATGGGCTTAATGCGGAGGGCAAGTTCGTCTGCTTCTTGGACAGTGGTTGCAGTGACGTCAGAGCGCCGAACTCTGATTGGCTCTGAAGGGAGGATAGTGGAAAGATCTCAATGCTAGCTTCCTTGAGCTCTACCCATTATCCATTACAATCGGAGCCAATTAGAGCTCGGCGTTCTGACGTCACTGTAACTTTTGAACAAGAAGCAGACGATCCTTGCGCTGCGCACACTACGGCGCCTAAAATTCGTTTCCAACGGGTGCGACTGGTGTGTTTAGCGTCCTATTCCGTGTACGCCTCGAAAAGGATCCCGAAGCGGCAACAAATGACGTACAAAAAACGAAGTGTCATGGTGTTAAAGGTCGCGATCCTGCCCGATTGAGTGTAGAAGTTCCGGCAAAATCACGAGTGAACGTGAGTGTCTCTGTCGTCGCGGCGTTCCAACTCCTGACTGTCCAAGCTTCCCTGGACTGTCACAGTGGAGAGCGACCTGCAGCATACCAGGCGTCTGCCACATCGACCACCTATGCTGTGACACCACCGGGGTCACGGTCAGCGTCAGCGTGACACGTCTAGGACGTCATCTCGCGAAAAACGAGGAACCACCCTTTCGGACATGGTGAACGCACAAGTCGGAGACGCTTTTCGAGGCGTCGCACTGATATGGTTTTGCTCCGAGGTATTAGGTATTGCTAGAGTTCTTTCCTGGGGCGCCTCTACGGCTTTTCTCTAGCTCGCCAGAAAATGAGTAAAGTGCCAGACTTGAGCCAACGATATCACATGACCCAATAGTTTGAGCTGAAGCCTAAATATATATGCACTTGTTTGGCAATTTAGGCCAAAAAAGATTCCAGATGACAGCAAAGCTATAATCATTGAAGCCTGGTAGTTGTTTGGCAAATCAGGGCCACAATACTCAGGCTCTGGCCAAATAACGTCAGGTGCCGCTCTATTTGGGCTTCTTGGGGTTTTTTAAGGCCCTAAACGCCCAGACAAAAACATTGGCCTAAGGAACTGTTCTACCTAAAGTGTCGTGTTTTTCAGCCAAGGCGAAAGAGAACTTCACTTACGGTCGTAACCAGAGGAAAGATGCACATGCGATTTGGTGTAGTCCGGGGGCTTGGAGAACCGGTACACGTCGTTCCACATTGGCACGACGTAGCGAAGGTGCTGAGCTCTGTTGGGAGGAATGTTTCCAAGTAAAGTATGATTACGAACCAGGCGGATTTTAGAGCACAAAGCATACTTAGGTTCTACGCGAAAAAATACAAGTACAAAAAGTGAGAGGCAGCACTAAGTGTTGTTGGTACACTCCGTCTCTCATTAAAGGGACATTCAAGAGGTGGATTCTGGCATCCTCAAATACACGAAATTATTCTCGTATGCGAAATATTTGCCTATTAAAATATACTCGAAGATCGTGACGCGCCCCCCTTTCTGCGCCTTGGAGCAGGCATCAGGACGCGCCATCAGACGGCGTCTTCAAACAATAATTGCTGTATTAAACCTACACCCGAAAATTGCACGTTTCTGTCTAAATATAATGCGCAACGTGCCTAAAAGAAGCAATGCTAGTAACATTGGCAATCTTCACGCACTTGATTATTTTCATTGTTTAAATTTTATAGATGTAATGGGAGCCGAAAATGCCCCCCCCCCCCTCTCCCCTCAAAGGAAAATAGTGCTCGTCTATTTTTATCGCTGTGAGATGCCATCTAGAACTGGTAATACTTATTGACTAAAGCCCAACAGACAGTATGCCACCAAAAACAAGCCCGACTGCAGCTGATGCTATGGTCCGATGGAGCCAATCAGTTTTGTATCACTGACTAAACCAATCACGCGGAGCAGTGAACGTGCCGTGATTTTGCGCTTTTTTGTGTGTGATTGGTATAGGCGTTTATAGCAAACACGCATACGACGCGCGCACCGTGACGTTGCACTTTTGTCGCTCCTTGATTGGCTCCATCGTATCGCGGCGTCGGCAGCAAACGGACCTAAAGTAAGACGGAGCACATGCGAACACACAGTTTACGAACCAAGCTCGCGTTTGCACACACCGGGGGTTCTAATCTCGACACTTAGCGAAAATGTCGGCGAGGAATTCAACCGCCGAGATTGGCCGGCGTAGGTGTGGGCACCGGGCGTGCGCAAAAACCAGATTCACGTGAGGCAAGACATCTGCGCATGCGCAGTGCCAACGGAAGTTCGTCTGCTTTCTGCGCAAGGGTTGCGATGATGTCAAAACGCTGAGCTCTTATAGGCTCCTTGCACAGGACGTCATTTCCGATACCCTCCAGAGAAGAGGGGAAGAAGGAGCTCCCCTCTTATCAGGATCCTCCTTTGTGCCTCCCGGATTAGCACAGGCGTCGCTATTCTCCTCCCAGAAGATTATAGAAGATTAACCTGTCACTCAACATTCTTACAAAAGCAGCTTCCCTCTCCTCCTTTTACTTGGTGTGCAAAAGTATGCGATGTGACGTCAGTGCAAGGAGCCTATTGGCTGATTAAAAAAAAAAATTGTGGGTAAACGTCGAGGCATCTATAGACCTTTCCAAAAAGAGCGCTCTGGCCGCCGCCATTTTGTGTATCGAGCGACCCCTATCAGCCAGAAATTTCTGGCACCCGCCTGAGCTGTGGAAACCCGGTCAGCGTGACTCCCTACCTGCATTTTGCGTTCGGAGTTCGCCGGCTTTTCTTGGAAGTTTTTATTTATTCGCCTGTTTAGGATGCTTACCCTTTGTATGTTATCTTCCACTGTGAGAACCAGGGAATACCAGGGCTCGTAGCCTGCTCGGCCTTCGCAGGAAACGAACGAAGAGAGCGAACGTCAAGCCGCCCGCTACGAAGGCCGTTCGACGTGCTTGGAGGATCATTTCCGTCGAGATAATCTCCAAAAAGCCTTCCAGGCTGTGTTCCGGGTCTTCGCAAAAACTAGCTGATAGGGTCGAATCCGGGGTGTGGCGACACAATAAGCACGTTCGTTCATTTGCTATGAAGCTGTGCAAAAAAAGGAGCTCTCTTCTACATGTTCCCCAAAACACGCCATATTCCGTCCGATCGTCGTGAAGTGACTATCGTCGACACTGTATATTGGACATGCGGTGTTATTTGAGACCTTTCTCAAATCCTGTTCGGATAACGCGGCACCGAGGGGTACGTACAATATATTTTTTGTTCGATTGATGAGATTCATTGAATTTTATGTTGTGGGCGGGGAATATCCCTGCAGTACGGATATCCTGTGTGGTCAAATATTTTGACCTTTATAGATTGACACGGCTGAATTAACGGTGCCGTAAAACAATGAACATAAAATGAAACAAACATTCCAGTTGCATTTGTTCTGTCGCGCACGGACTCACCAAAACAGCTTTCATTTCTTTGTTTTTGTTCCCAAAAATAGACAACTGCTTTCTTAAAGACCTCTATAAATTATGCTCGCCACAGAACACAAGATAAAAAAGAAAACGCGGCAATTCAGCCGCCACCAGCGTCCGGAATTGCGCCCAACGCAGGCTGCCACAGCCTACTGACGAGGAACTCCACAGCTCAGCGCAGTCGGGCAACACTGACGTAAACTCTCAAAACCAGGGACACGCGCTGTAAATCGCTTCGTTCGAGACTGCCGCTGGAAAGGTCTATAGTCGGTTACAAGTCAAGAAGGTAGGAGAAGCTCCTCCCACAAGTGTGATGCGCCCGTTTCAAATCTCACCGCAGTCGAAAGAAGAGTTCACTGGAAACGCTCCTTGTTCCGCTTCAATGGATTTCCACTTGTCTCCGATCCCACTTTTTAAGAAAGCGACCTTTGTATTCATCGGAGAGGGAACCGAGCCCCTGAAAGCAGCCTTTGTATCCATCGGGGGGGAAGCTAATCCCCGAAGGTCGTATTTGTTTCCGTCGGTGGGTGGAATTCTAATCTCCCTCTCGTGGCTTCCACAGTGCTAAGTCAAAGTCGAAAGATAAAGCAAATATGTACAGAAAGGCAAGACCCTCCTCGCGCGTTGGCCGCGACGTCACGGAAACGATGGGACGCTATTGGATGCGGAGGTGGCGGAGGGATATCCGATTCCCTTTGAGGGGCATTTGCCGCTACCTTCTTAACCTGTAACTGACTATAGCATTGAGAATGAGGACTACCCACTGTTCTTTCAAATCAAAGCCAATCAGAGCTTGACGTCTTCGTGACGTCATCACATGTTTTGAGCAAGTAGCAGACGACTTGCTCTCCGCATGGTACTGGCCCAGGCATCTCGTTTTATAACGAGATAGAAATCACGTAAAAGAAATTGCGTGTTGGTTTGGGTGCACATTCTGGAGCGGGCAGTTTTGCTGACTTACAGTGATTGGTGGCAGGGATACTTGGATTTCTCGAAACTACGGAACAGGCTGGTCACGTAAGATGCCACTTGGTCACTAGGGTCGTCGATGATGTTGTGGCCGATGTACTTGAGCAGGTAGAGGTCTGGATGTGTCTTCATGACGGCTGTGAACGCCGCGATACGCAGATACGATGACTCGCTCTTGTTCTTGTACACGGGAAGTGCGATATCGCGCACCTGCATGGTAAATAGTGCATCCAGTTGTAGCGTCGTAGAAGGTAAGGTCAATCCTTCATACGAATGTGTTTGATCAAGGAAGTAGGACGGCACGCGCATTGTGTGTATTTTAGCCGAAGCTGGGGTCAATCCCCACCCCTGCCGGCTTCGATCTGGATGAGCATCGTACCGGCGTGGGGTCATGTATCACTACTGCGTGATGAACGTTAAAGAATTCGGGCTAGCGGTTGTAAAGCACTGGAAGACTCGTCGGCCGTCGAGCAGACCAAGTTCTAGGCCGTATAAACATCCACAAAACCCAATTTTTTTAGCCGAAGCTTTTTTAAGAGTGCATGATTTAAAAAAATAGTATAACGTAATATCAAGTGCGTTTAGGACACAAATTGCGATCTATGCACTTTTAGACTCTTCATAAGAACAAGTAGAGCCACTTTGTTTTCTTGGTGACCCAGGGGTTCCCTTCGTCTGCTTATTTTTTTTGTCGGACTTCCTGTTTACCTCAATTACAGAGTATTTACTTGTATCGGCAATGCGGTAATTTCAGTCTAGAAAACAAAATAATTATACTGATAATAGTAGTTCAAATATGTTGGTTTTTCGATTGTGTCAGCGCATTATCAAATTTGAACATTCAAATAATTATTCGCAGAGTGTCACAAGAATACAAGCTTCGTATATCAAATTTCCAGGGGCCAACTGGCCGTACATTTTTCACATGTTCCATGTGGGGTGGCAGTACATAGGCAGTTTTGGGAGTAAATGTCCTAAAACAGGAAATGCGTAGCCATATTAATCGGTGTCGATCAATAAAGTACATCATTTTAGACTTCTGACGCAAATAAATATGGAGAGTTCCTCTTTTTCTCTCTAGCTTTAAATCCTTAAAGTGCTTGGAGCTAACCATTCTTTCTAAATAATGTGAAGATATCATTAGGGTGCTACATTTGGCGCTGGAGTAGTCTTTCGTCAAGTACACATGCGATTCCACTGGAGCTGGCGAACTGACAAACTGATATAAAGATAGCGAAATTTTAGTGTGTTTTATTTACATTTTTATTAAGGACGGCAATTATCCATCGATCTTGTACGCTTGTCTTGTTCTTGTTCCGAATCTATGTCTTTTTCCAAATTACAATATCTTGTAGCGAGCTTGATTTATGTCACTCGCTACAATCTACTGCTCTCACGGTAGTACAAATCACGCGAATTATTTTCTCTTGCGTTCTATTTTTTTTTCTTCTTTTTCTGGACCAATGGAGATTACGATTGTTCTCATTATACCTAGTTCTGAGAACGTTTGCATTGCATTTCGACTAAGACACAAAATGTTATTGGTTAAAAAGGCGTTATACTGAAATTTCGCTTCGAAACCAGCGCACTATATTTTTCCTCGCTTTTCGCCGTAACCAGAGCGATGTGTCCGCCCGACTTCGTCAGATGGATGGATGCATCGATGGATATCATTCGTATTCTTTAGAACGGGTGGTAGCTCGCGCGACCTGGCCGCGGCGAACAGTCGCGGTTCGTCTTCATCGATCTCCCCCAATGGTCTACTCGTCAGCGTCGCGCGTCGTAACGTCGACGAGCGCTCGCGCCCGATCGCGTTAGCCGACGCTGGCTGAGGCAGTCTTTACTCCAGCCTCATGAGCAACGCCACGTAGCGCAGCGTAGACCAGGGCGCGTCGGCGTAGCGGCGTAGCTCACGACGGAAGAACAAACCGCACAATCCGCACGCCGACGACAGTGGCTTTGCCGGAAGCCCTCGCGCGAGCATCCCATTCGAGAGTGTCAATGTCGTAGCCGTCGGGGCCAGTCGGAGTGTGTGAGACGCTCATTTCTGCGATCTGAACCTGCCATTCTTGCCGTGGGTCGTGTGCTCATTTTGTGTTCCTGTGTTGGTGTGCACATTTAACATTCGCGCAGGGACGTGGACTGCTTCGAAAATGCTCTACTCACTAGACGCTTCGTAGCCCTAACCTGTCGGACTCATGCACGTTGTGCCGGCAAAAGATGAAAGTTCGAAGACGCGCCGAAGGCCGTTCCAGTTCGAAACGACAAGCGCCGTCGAATCTACGGCAACGGCGGGGCCAGCGAGACAGCTGCTATTTAGCCGGCCAGAAAATGTCAACTGGTGTGTCTCAGTGCGCGAAGGATAGTAGCAGTAGGGCGATGAATATGGGACTAAATTTTGTATTGTTTGTATGAGCTCCGTAAAGTGGACTAGAATTTTTGAAGTAATTTAGGCAGCGTACGCTGTCTTTCGTGATAGTTACTTGAGTCAACGTGAAAGGCTAGCTATGATGGCCATCCGCCAGAATGAGGTCGCTGTGGAATATCAAGTGCACCGCTTCCATCAACGTATCTAGCGGCGGGATTTAACACGACTCCGGCGAGCCTGCCAAGCGATTAGTTTTGACGGACGAATGTTGTGATTTTTTTTCGTCGGCATTTGTGTAACATTTTGGGGAAAGTAAAGTCTGGTGTGCACTCGTTATCCCCATCTTTTTTTTTTTTTTTTTCAAACTGCTAATCATTGCCTAAAATAGCTGCTTCGGAGCATGACCACACGACACGGACGAACCGCATACACGGATCGCATGATTTGTATCGACCAGACAACGCGGTCGCCACGTCGAATGGCGCTGGCTCGCGTTCCGTTCTCCAACACTGGAGTATAAACAGCCTTGTCCGCCGAAGGATTTCCAGTTCTAACGGCGTCAGATTGTTAATGCGCATCACGTGCACGCGCAAACTGCTGAAACGTAGTTCGTCCGAGGCAGTGGCAGCTCTGGACTACTTGGGACTCTGAATCACTCCGCTGATCCGTCCGCTCGCTCGCATCTTCGCCGACCGCTTCACTCGGGGAATTCGTCATGGGAAAGAGCGATTCCACGAACTTCGAACATTTTTCTTTTAACGGAGAAATATGCCAATATGACTAACTTTTATATTTCTAGGTTGATTTCAGCGTGTAGATCGCGTTACCGCCATAAAACGACTATCTCAAAAACCACTTCAGTGCAGCTTTAAAGGCCGGCGAGAAACCAGAAAGAAGAAAACTCCCTCAATCCCTCCTTTCCATCCGCGAAAGAGGAACACCCTCCTCCCTTCTGTGATTAGTAGTTCAGAGGCTCTCTCGTGTTTAGGAGACGAGAAGAGGAGTGTGCGAGAGGGAAAGGAGAAGAGGAAACTGGGAACCGGTTTTCACCCCGGCAGAAGACGATTCTGTAGGTCGGCCTTTAAAGGTGCACTAAGGTGAATTTCGGGAGCGTCTTTTTATGGTCCGAACTCATTCCATTTACCCAAACCGTTTTATAAAACCCGTATCTACATTTACGCGTACCGTTTCCGTTCTTAAACATGCGACCAGACACCACGACATGCCCTTTTTTTTAGATAAAAAAAAAGGAGGCTTGTTGCGGTGTTTGGTCGCGTATTTAAGAATTTATGGGTAAAAAAAAAGTTATGCGTGATTGTAATATTAGATTTTATAGCATGCTTTGAGGGCGTAGATTGACTTGGCGTCATAAAAACACGATATCAGCATCCACTCCAGGGCCCCTTAGGTTCGAGTGCAGCCGACGGTACGTGCCCAGAGGGCAATTTAACAGCGCCAAAAGCGCAACGTCATTGCGCTTGCCGTCTTTCCGCGCATGCTCACCAGCCGGCTCATCCAATCAAAACGCATAGAATGAGCCGCGATTGGGCGCTTTTCGTCTGCCGTTTGTCTTCTGTGCTTTAACAGCGCTCGGTCTTAAAAAGGGATACTTCAACGAAATTTGACATTTACCACAATATCCGTAAATGACAATCGCACGTTTCTATTTCGAGCCTCATGGCTATATTTTTCGTTATAAGCGGCCCACTCGGGCAAGCGCTCGGAGAGCAGCCAGCGGAGAGCACGTCACATCCGGCGCCATCGTGACGTACTTTGTCTCGGGACGAGCAAAGCTGCGGCGAGGCTGACTTCATCAGAATGCCCTAGCCGTTCCAGGCCCCGAAGCGGTCGAAGCACGCCGGCAACCGGGCCACCGCAACTAACCCCAAAGCTGCTTTTGTACGAATTTCGAGTGACGGCGCGTTAATCTATAATCTTGAAGAGGGATAATAGCGACGTCTGGGACATACAAAAGAAAGTCCCAGTAAGAGGGGAGCTCCTCCTTCCCCTCTTGTTTTGTGATGGCTGGCGAGCGGGCGGGATGACGTCAGGTTCAAAGAGTTGCAATTCTAGGCGAGAAGGCATCTTCACTACCTGCCAGAGTTTCTGGACGGGCATTACAAACAATGCTTTAGCGACATCCACCAGGTGCTTTTTACTAATTGTTTAATTCGTTTTAAAATTTGTTTCGTGTTTTTTTCAAGAATATATTGGTGTGTCTGATGTGATACTGCTTCTTTGAATACGTATAGACCAAGAAATAAGTGTCGTACTGTCGTTGTACCATCCCTTCAAGGTAACACCAAGTACAGCGCTAAACGGACGGAATCAAACGGAACCGTACCAGTTCGGGGTGCTTCGAGCCAGCTCGCCTCAGGGCCCAGAAGGCGGCAGCCCTCCTGTACTCTGGCTGGTTGGTATCGGAGATGAAGCGTTCCAGGTAATGCACGGCGCCCCTGGTGGCTAGGTTGCCAGCAGCCTTGATGTACGCGGTCCTCTTATATTCCGGCTGGTCCTTCTTGTCTTCAGGCTTGACCGAATACTGCGCAAGAAGAAAGAGCGTCAGTTTGCAAAAGGAAGCATTTTGCACGCACCTATAAGCGCAGAAAAATATGGTACAGTATTGTTTGTGATCTTATCGAACGATATGGTATAGTATTGTGCAGTGTAATATAGTGTAGTATCGTCCGGTATGGCATTGTGTGGTATGATATGCTACTATTAAATATGGTGTGATAAGCTGAATTATGGTTTGTAGAATACTGTATCTTATGGTTTTAGTCAGTTTCTGGATATTCTTTCCTCTGTCCCGCAACGCCCTTCGCAACCCACTGGGAGATCCTGAACTCCACAGACAAGGCCAGAGGTGAACTTTCGCAGTGGCAACGTTTTTGTTGCGGAGAGAGTAGCGGAGGAGGCAAAAGGGTATGCGAAAACTTCAAATTTTATGTAATGGTATGGTATGGCAGGGTATTGAATGGTGAGGTAACTTGCAGTATCGTGTGGTGTGCTATTTTATGTTATTGCATTTTATGATGGGTATCGTATCACACAGTATGGTAGCCTATAAGCCTATAGTGTAGTATGGTGTGTACTATATGATCAGTATATGACACTGCATTTACGTGGTATAGTCTGCCTTTATCTGATATTATAAGGCACAGTTTATAGTAACATGGTGCCGTTCGGTATTGTTTTGTGAGAAGTGGTTTGATTTCAGCTCGTTTGTCATAAAATGGTAACTGAAGCGTTTCATTAAACGGGCTTCGTCTTGCTATCGATGTTCGTTTTGTTGGACCAAGGTGGAACACCTTGGTGCAACAAAATGTGACAAAATGTTTATTTTACAATGGGCTACTGACTCTATGCGAGCAGAGATCATTACAACAGAAGCGGGCAGATTATTACATGCATCTGTTATCACCTGCCACAATGGTGACCAAAGCGATTGTTTAGAAACCAACATACCTTACGACGCATTTCTCAAGAATAATGAAGTTCTTCAATTTATAGTGCTGGAGCTATGAACTATGACGCCATTTTACTTACACTGACTTTTATTTCGAAAAATCTTGGTTTGTCGCAATATTTCTTAAAATTAAAGTGAAACAATCACTTTTCTGTTTTATGCTGCACGGCTGAAATGCATCTGGTGAATGTAGAATTGACAAGTTTATGCATTGTACGTGTTTGCTGAACGAATAAGTTTAGTTTCACAACAGTGTTCTATTTACGTTCCAAATGCGACCACTTTAAATGTTGGCTCCGAATCATAATGTGTGCCAGTTAAATAACGAAATAAAATGGTGGAAGATGAACTTGTATAACAAATTTTAAACAATTGGAATGATTCCCGAAAATCAAACAAAGATCAAGGGCAATTAAGTCAACCAGTCCATGACCTTTTTCGAAACACTCACATTAAAGAAGTGCGACACCAGAGAGGGCTTGCAGAATCCCTCGTCGTGTTCCTTGTCGGTCTTAGCGCGAACGCAACCCTCTTGGCCTGCGAGGATACTTAGGGCGAGTTGACAGTTGACCCACACTTGTCGTTTCGGTTTCACGTGCTCACACACCTCCTGCAAGAATGTCAAAAATACAAACAGAAACAACAATAATGAAAATCCTAGGCAAGAAACAGAAACGTTTAAGAAATTATCAGTAAAAACTGGCAACTTTTTTCAATTGTATATCTTATATTGGAATCGAGCTACACCGGTTCTGCATATAATTATTTTTTTGAAAAAGGCTTGCCAAATGTTTCCAGCAGTTTCAGTTCGCATTCAAAGCATAAATGGCGTTAACGTTTAACTCAGATTTTTCTAATGCATCGTGAGATTAAACTTTTCTCAAATTGTTGTTTACTCGATGTCAGCAGCAATGCTTTGAATAAGTTAGAGGGTCTCGTTTCTCGGATATTCGGTTATTTTCTCGGTCGGACATGGAAACAAGTCAAAAATATGGCGACACAACCGTACAAAAACAAGGTTTTTGTGATCGCAAAAAAAAAAAAAAATCTGGCAAAAAGAAAAGGTTGCAATAATATTTTGTAGAGCGTCGAGACAGTCGCTCGTGCCTACTTTCCAATATATTCCCCCAAGAAAATCCGATAGTGGGAAATCATAAAACATACGGCAAGTTCAGTCAGAAGAGCAGGGCTGTTCTCCTTAAGGTTGAGCGCCAACTTGGTGAAGAAGTGCTCAGCCTCATCGTCCGAGAGCTTATCTTCCTTGACCAGTTGCAGGCCGAACGCAACTTGAGGGTTCGTTCCAGCAGCTGACAGCAGGTCCAGGAACAGTCTCCTGAAGACGCGAGGATACATCGAGGGCACATTCCATATGATTGGGCAAATTTGGAGTCGATGCTTTGGAATGTCAATCTACAAAATCCCAGACACGACCGTTAGCTTGTCTAGAGATTAGTGAAGCGTTCAGAAGAAAGAATTGTTTCTCGACGCGCAAAAATAAGCTATACACCGAGAGAGATGAAACTTTGTGAGAATGCGACGTCACAGATTCGAACAAAACTCAAACTTTTTGAGAACGTGACGTTACTCGGATCAAAATAAAATTGATAAACATGAAATTTTTTAATCAGTCGATGTCAAAACAATATCTAAGGTTGTGGACGCATGTGGAATTTGTATAATACAAATTCCACATTTGTATAATTTATATATTTATATAAATATAATATATATAATTTTTGCTGACAAGACTTTTTTTTTTACTGAGATAAGTGGCGTCTGCAACGCTATTTCTATTTTCTTCAACGATCTTAGGCTTAGAAGGATGGCGGTTCATAGAAACATTTTTTCTTTAATTCATGTAACGTAATGTTTTTAAACATTCAGGTTTTATATCCCAACCGCTGGTGTCATAATCTCACTGATATAGAAATTTCTGTGATGCGGAGTTTATTCTGCGGGCCGAAAAAACACGGTTCTTTTTTCCAGGGAACGCCCGGTACAAGGACCCCGAAAGAAATGTTCGATGGTATCAGAAAGAGACTGAGCTTAAAAATCTACCCACTGTCTCCCTTCAATCAGAGCGAACCGAAGCGTCGTCTTTTCCTCGCGCAGAAGCTGGAGTTCGAACGCCTAGCTCCAGCGTCTCTCAGCGGGTATAGAGTGGCTCGCCGGTGCTCCCGCTTCCGCAGTTCCTCAAAGTCAGGCTTAAACTCGTCACGTTTGCATCTTTAGGCATTCTGGTTGTTTCAAACATCCTACACCGATAATTGGGGATGCACTCACTTAACGTGAGATTGGCTTGCTTCCGGTGCGCTGGCGACGGCTTGCTCGTACACCTGGACGACATCTTCGAAATGCAGAGTGGAAAGAGCGTTGAACAAGACCAGGAACTGGAGGCCTCCGCTTTCCTTGCCGTGAACATCCTTGACGTCGTCATCTTCGTACTCAAGGGCAGCGAGGTGGTTCAGACCCGCGACGAACTGGAAATGAAGCGTGCATTAATTAGAGAGCCTAGATTCAAGAGAGGGAGCAGATCGAGCAAGGGAGAGCGTTTGCGAGTAAATCGCTGGTCGCAAGTACGCATGCGGTTGTCGACGGTCGAGGGGGAAAGCCGGTACACAGTCTGTGACGCATGCAGACGATGGCGGCTTTTGACTCCTCCACGCAGCTTGTATTGCAAAGGCCACCATAAACCACGTGACCCCGATGTGGCAGTTGTAAGCACTCTGCAATCTAGGAACACTAGACTTGTTAAGAAGCGTGCCTGCTACCATCTCAGTGTGGTAGAATTCCGAACTACAGTGTAAGTATATATTCCAAGTGCTCCGGTAAAAATGTGCATAAATGCGTGGGACTTTCCAGTGTCTATAACATTCAAGCTGAATTGTCCATGATGGTTCCTTTGTGTTCTTTATCCCAAATATTGATTTGAGGTGATAAAAAAATCGGAATTCAGCTCCTCCGTGCATGTTTTATAAAAAAGTAAAACAGATACTATTTATGGCAATTGTAAAAAAAATAGAATGGTTTTAGTGTTTCTCGTCGAGAAAGTAACCTTCCAAACTGACGGACTTGATACCTAAGATGCACGCCCATAATCAGAGTTAACCGGCGTTAAAGCCAAAATTCCATGCCATTCTTTTGTATTTCCACGTCGCTTCTAACCGTGTGAATTACGTGCATCTAACATTGCAGAGTTCTGCAGGACTTTTTTTGTTTGTTTTTTTAGATTCTAAAGCAAAAAAGGCGCATGTTCATTTCCGGACTATGCGGACCGCAAGTTCGTCTGCTCCTTGAGGGGGGGTTGTATTGATGTCAAAAAGACGCTGAGTTCTGATTGGCTGTGCTAGGTAGGATAGTGGGTAGACCTCAATGTTAGCTGCCTCGAGGTCTAACCGCTATCCTTTCAATCGGGGTCAATCAGAGCTCGGCGTCGTTATGACGTCACCGCGACTGCTGCGCATCAAGCAGACGAACTTGCGGTCCGCATAGTCGCTGACTGTTCAAGAAACGTACGACCGAAATGATTTAAGCCTAAAATTATATTCTTTGCAAAACGAAACCGCATGTTTCATCTGCCGCGGGTAACGCTTCACTAACAAGTGTCTCAGACCTGAAGAGAAACCTAGAACTAGCCTATTTAGAAAATTGACGTAAGAGTTCTCGTCGATGCTTTTTCCACCAAATGTACTACAGGTAGTCGCTTTTCGGGACATCTTTCCCTATACCTGAACGCTTCATATCTCCCAAGCTTCATCACGCGTGCCAAGTTGAACCAACTAAATTACACACTAACTCGTTCATGTTCTCTTCCATATCATTGTGTACAAAAGATTGGAACAGTCTCACCCCGCACATGAATAGTTGCCCAATCCGATCCTATGTCATTTAAGCGAAGCTGCTTAGATTTGTTTATTTATTTAATCTTTTATTCGAATGTAAATTACAGCTTGGCCATTCAGTTTCTACTTTACCATCATGAGCATCGTTGCACCGCTTAATCAATGAAATCTCTGTATATTCATATTGAAGATTTAGGTTTTACTTTGTATGGTCGTTGATAAATTTTTATACCAACTGCTCGCTTTCTTTTTCTTTTTTGTTTATGCTATTATCATGAATAATACTCTCTTTTTGCCGTCTACCCTCATGTAATGCATCATCCTTTGAGGTAAATAAATCAAATGAAATAAAATAAAATATTATTAACTTTTTGTTTCCGTGAGTTTTCTTTCGCATTGTTTTCGGGTAATATCGACGCCTTATTGACTGTGAAGTGATAATAAGATGAACGAAATTCATCACGTCCTTCATATGTTAATTAAGCAGTCGTTTACTGTACTGAACAGCCATAGGGACGCCTGTTCACACATGAAGCACAGCGCCGGCTCGTAGCCATTGGTCAGCGATGGCAATAGTGTTGATGTTGCAGCGCTTACTTTGCGGTGTTTTAGTGACAGAGCGCGGCACCAGCGTTGTTCGTGAAGGCCCTTTCACACACCTTCGTTTGCTTTGGATCGAGTTCTTGGGATGTCATACAACAAAAGAACACGCTGGCACGCCGGCGCCATCTATATGGTGACCCCAGAACTGCATTTCATAAGAGCGCTGGTGGTTCGGCGGTATTTTCGAGATGGCATGTACGTATACTGCCTATGAGAACTGGTCGTTTATAACTAGGGTTCCGTGTTTTCGGTGCTTATTTTTTCTTTCCGAATTCGATGTTGTCTTTTTTTTTCGAAGACACCCCCACATAGAATAGTTTTTTTTTGTGTGTGTGTCAATTGGTTAAGGTTTATCCAATTTACACGAAAAACACACCATCTGTGGGAAAAAATAAACCCCCAAACAAATGAACCCTCGAATACGGATAAACAAAAATATACACACGCACACACAAAAAAAAAACAACGACAGCGAAAGCTTATACCGTATTTACTCGAGTTATAGCCGCACTAATTAAGAACATTACCCTTGCGTCTGCTTTTCTGCTTTACCTCAGAATACATATACAGTCAATCATCGCGCTGCGCATAAATAACATAGCGAATAACCAAATAGAGAACACGATTCTCCATAGAAATGCAATCTTCACGGATGGTATCTTCGCGCGAAGATGTTATCTCTGTCCCGTAAACCGCTGGAATCATGATGCCTATCGCGGTGGTTGGCAGGCCGCGTGCTCGGCGGAAAAGCGAGCACTCGGGGTTTCTTCATAAACAGTGTGGCTATTACGGTATTACCCGAGTAAATATGGTATATAACATTGTCAAAATTTTTTTCGAGTAAAAAAAACAAAAGGTTAATATGCGATAAAGCAGGAAATATACCGAAACTGCAAGCGTTCCAAGGCCATCCGATAGGTGGCGTCCGTGTGTTCTCTCATCGTAAGAGATTTTAAGAGGTTTTAATGCACACGGTCGCAAGCAATCGCAAGTGTGTGAATTAGCCTTTTGTGTTGACTAGCGCTGCGCTGTATACGTGTGAACTGGCCTTTACTCTACATTTCTGTCGCCTCCCTCTACATTTTCTTCTAGAATTCTCTACAAACTAGCGTGTATAGTCATCCGATGACCTAAGATATATTATCTATCCTTAGCCTTACCTTTTCTTTGTTGTTTGTGAGTTGAAAGTAGTCGACGAAGTGGTTGACCTTCTTCAGATCTTGGAGTGTCTCGACATGATCACCTACTGGAAGCGTCTGACTCAGGTGGTCCACCGTTTCCGTGTCTTCTGGGAGCTGGGTGTCGGTGTTGGCGTCGTGCACCTCCTCCAAATCCAAGGTGCGGCTGCGTAAATTATATAAATTCATAAAACATTTAATATAACGAAGTGGATTGCCTCTTTTGAGCCAAACTTTTTTTTGTCTAAAGATGTAGGGCCTTAAAGAAGCCCAAAAAAGCCAAGTTAGAGCCAAACACAAATGTGTTTGGCCTGAGTGTCGGTATCTCAGTCCTAATTTGCCAATAACGTGCCGAAGTCAGGCGTCACTGATGGATGTTTGGTTGTCACCTGCCAGCTTCTGGCCTAAATTGAAAAAAAAAAAAACTGACTCTACTTTTGTTTCTTGGTGTTCGGCTTTCATGTGAAAACTTTGAGGCTAAATTGCCAGACAAGTGCCAGATTCAGGTTCCATTGCTGGTTCTTCGCTTCATGCTTGGTGTCTAAGTCGGACACTTTGACAATTATGCCGTGAGCCAAAGAAAGGCCATAGAAACGTCCAAAGAAGTATTCTTGTACTAATAATGCCTCGAAGTAAAACCACATTAGACCCAAGTTAGGCCCTTATGGAAATGCCAATCTTGTGCCAACCTAGGTTTTTCTCTGACATGCTCCATGAGTGATCACTTGCTTCTCGTTTTATTTTGCAAGAATCTACTATTCAACGACGCCGTTTAAAAAACAACTCAGCTGAACAATAACGCGCTATAGATTTCAATTACGAGAGACAGTGTTGGAATCGAACTCACTACAGTTCAGTTTTTTAACACTGAAATGGAAATGTTTTGCTTTCCTCGTGTGCAATGAAATATACCGGAGGCTTCGGCCACATTAGTGCTTTTTTTATCGATTAATCTAAGAAAAGGAAAATTAGGTACCCAAAAATTCAGGAACTTAAAAAAGCTCTCTTTTTTTAATGTACAAAATATACTCCAGTTACAGGATGAAAAGTATTAGGGCATGTATGAAGAGACTGAGCATTTCGGTGCCTTTTTGGCTAAGAAGCGAAATGATCTTTAACACTTCCGTCTCTTACTTGAGCTGGACAACGAATGTTTTTCCTTGGCCGTAAGGCCTCAAGACAGTCTCCGAGGTTGCGCAGGCGTGGTCAATGACGTAGTGCTCTGGAGTTCCATCCAGCCAGTACTTGACTTGGGCGGTGGCCACCAGGGGGTGCTGCAATGGCAAAGCGGGAGGGCAATGTTACTGTACGTGTACAAATGTACCACGAGACACGTGCTACCGAGTTACCTTGTTTGTGTAATCTGTAGCAGATTCTTCTGCAAAGACCAAAAGCTGTCTAAAACTAAAATGATTGAGAAAAAAATTAAAAAAAAATTATTTCCGGGAGCAAATTGCTTGCCTCGGCGGAAGTCAGGGATTCCAAGAGCCACACTAACTAAAAGAAGACAATACGTAAAATAAACTAATCAATATATAATTCGTGAAAATAAGCCTATGGTTTCGATGAAACGCTTTCTGATCTTCATTAAAAGAAAAATGGGTTAGTTATAACTTTAAGGTGACTTGAAGCACGGGGGGAGCGCGGAGGTGGGCGTTAAAATTGATTACTCGAGAAACAGGCGCAAGGCCAGCGAAGCGAAAACGCAGATGATATTCTTATCGTCCTCGTTTCTCATCATGCCATCGTGACAACTGCATCTGGTTTAACCACTGTCTACGCCGACCAATAGTTTACAGCCCCAATTTGAATTACATATAATGTTTAACAAAGAACTAATATTGATGGTTTAATTTGCTTATCACTTTATAACAAAAACCGTAAACAAAGCAATTATATCATTAAATTGCTATAGTCACTGACAAAATGAGGATGGCGGGGAAAGGCTCCAGGTGTCCCCCCTCCAGAGCGACCTTGTACCTTTGGCAACGCTTCGACATCTCGAGCACCTCGAGCTCACGCGCTCAGTCAAAGCACGGTGTAAGTCATGGAGCGCGTGATGGAGGCGTTAGAAAGACACGCCTTGCCGGTCTCAGTCAGCCAGTGACATCGTTTTGTTTGCGTGTACAGTCCAGCAATGCTTACCGACTCCTGGGCTTCACATTCGACGCACTCGTGCGCCTTAATCCTCCCGTAGATGGCGAAGTGGTCCTTGTCGCATTTCTCGAGATTCTTGATCTTGGTGACCTCGAGGTGACCCTCATCCTCGGCGACAACGTACAGGGTGTCGCAGTTTCCGTGAAGACCGTCCTGCAAAAGGCACGATTGATTGGTTGAGCCAACGGAGAAGGCGCTTGGCAGGTCGTCCAGCTTCTGGTGACCGCTGGTGTCTCGTAGCCACTGGAATCTAGCACCTACTGGTGTCCTGCACACGCTGCCTTCCAACGGCCGCTGGCTTCCAGCAGCTACTGCCGTTTAACATCCGCTGGCTTCTAGCAGCCGGCGAATGCTAAACTTCTAGCATTTGCTGTGGCCTACTTTGTGTGAAACGTAGCTCCAGCATCCAGCGGAATTTACAGGTAGTGCTGCCATTTTTACCTGATTGCGAATACTCGCTCGTGACTCAAGTTCGTGGCTTTGAAACTCATTCTCGCTGAATTAGCAGAATATTTTGAATATTATGAACGCGTTCCGAAGCTTTGTCCTCAGGAACGCATTAACAACTGTGATTTGAAGCAGTGGTGGAACAAATTGTTCTTTTAATTTGTTTCCGCTGTGTTTCCAATGTTGATGCTGCTGGTATTGTATCTAATCAAGTGACGTCGCTAAAAAGTAGCTGCGTTCTGTGTATGGTTGGACAGCGGGAAATTATTCTGCCCCAATGGACGTTTGGTGTCTCCCCTGTAGATGAGAAATTTAACCCGTGCAGTACCTATGCCAGCCAGTTGTTTTTAACGTCCATAATGCAGTAGTAATATAACACCGCTTGTATGTAGAAAGCCCATTCAGAATGAAACTGGCAGAGGTGAGGATTAAGCCCAGGGTGTCTGGGTTCTGCAGTTCACGTTATCGCTCCTCGTGCTCCAAGCTGTGGTCTCCACAGCCTGTCTCCGATGCCCCCGGTAAACTCAGTAGAACATTTTTAGTAGATCGTTTTGATACCTCCCATAACAATATCCGATAACCATTCGATGCATGCGCAAAGGAGTCGGAGGACTTTCGATTATATTTATTGTAGTCATCGGAACGACCTACTAAAACTCCTTATTGAGATGCAGAGAACAGTGGAGAAGTTCTTGAAAGAACCCGGAGGATTCCTTAGCAAGGCCGGCTTTGAGGTTCTCTAAACGTTCTCTGATGCAAGAGTTTTATACGTACCTCCTTCACGTAGAACTGCTTGGCGTGGGGATCGTCATGACGTCCCTTGACGAGGTCCAGTTGGAACACGCTGAGGACACCCTTCTTGATGTTCTGAGACCACATGGGCTCGCTCTTTCCCAGCTCCGCGGCCTCGAGCTATAAACGAGAATAATGACGTACTTAGTATCTTACATAATAGTTTATATTTGCCCCTCACGTAATATATATAAAGCCAGTTAAAATATAGAGAAATCTTTTAACGCGCAATGTGTTCGCTTCAAAGAAAAGCTGGCGCTTGAAGTTAGCTTATACAACATTTCGGATATTGTAAATAATACAAGGACTCGACAAGTCGCAGGAGAAATACAAAACTGAGTCAATAAATGAAACATGCTTTGACTGCCAGATCTTTTAAAGGTATTTGAACGCCCCGGAAAGTGCTCTTCTACTGCGTAACCAAAGCACGCAACTTTGCCCCTGTCTTAGGGGCTTTCTATTTTCAAAGCATTTGGTTAAAATCACATTTGCAAGGTTAAATCAAGATTAGACGCACTTTACTTCAATTCAATTTCATGATTGTTGGTAACCTTTGCCATCTTTTAGGCAAATATATTACACATTATACAATTACATTTTTATTTCCGTTTCAACAAAATCCTCGAGAATTCAGCCAACAATAAATTCGAGTAGTGTGGGGACGATGTCTTAATTAAAATTGTTTAAGGTATCAGTCTGTCGAGGCTAGAAAGCTTTCAGACAGTGTTCATTGTGAAATGCATGGCAATGAACACAGCTGCATGTAGGCAATGGTAAAGTTCGAGTCTCGCTTACCTTTCCTTCGGAGAACTTGCCGGCAAATGGTCTCTCAATAAATTGCTTCAGTGCGTCGGTGGAGTGGTAGTGGAACTGGTGGTCACTGAGATGGACATGTTCGCCGTTGAAGGTGTCCACCTCGAAATCGATTATCTGCAACCGTAAGGCAATGCAATCAGACACACATTACTATGCACGATGTGCGGTCACAAAATGTAATTGTATTAACAAAAAAAAGGCCATTTCATTTAGGAGTTGCGGGCAGTAGCCTGAATTACGCGAACAGTACTGAGCAGCTTACTTAATAAGTGCCAGAAGACTCACAGATTATTAGCAGTTCCACCTAAGAGATGTATTGGCTTTTTAGGAGATCATTTGTATTGAATTTATATCCTCCTTCGCCGTTTCGACGCAACCAGTGATTCGACTTGTGCGGATTCCTGCTCGGAAGCATATATCACAGGAAAGTTAAACAGTATGTTGTACTAACCCTTTTTCTTTTGTCTCGTTTATTTTGGGTGTTTTTGTAGTACCTAGCTGTATCGATACATACGCATCGGCAAGCTACTTTTTTGCCCCCGTGCATTTTTCCGGGGAATTTAAACATCGCCGCTTTGAGAAACAAGTGCCGCGGAAAGTAAGAGCGTCGAAAGATGTTTGTTATTTCTTCGTGATGGATTTTCGACGAAAGGGTACCTGCTTTACTGCTAAAATGTTTACGAGCCGTTATTCATCGAGTGTTCGCTTTGTGAAATAGTTACATGCCCGTATATATCTATATTAGGGAGCGCTGTCTATTCTTTAGACTTACATCGTCGGGTAGCTGAGTGCTTTATTTACTAAGCTATAACCTGCCGTGCGTACTTCGTTTCGCGCTAAGTTCCACTGCAGCCAAAGCTGCCATGCGATGGATAAAATCAAGCATAGCACCAAAGGTATGTTTCCACGGTTCCTCGTCGTCCTTATGCGTTTTTCTATTACCGGCTAAATCAACTCCCTCACAGTGAATGCGACGTAATCCCGTGCTTTTGCTTTTCGTGTGTGATTGGTTAAGCTGGTCATAGCAAACGCATAAAGACGGCGAGTACTTTGCGATACACTTTTTCGCGCTGCTTTATTCAGTCCATCGGGTTGTGGTGATGTCTGTGATCAAGCGTAACGTCCGTGAAAAGAAGAACAACTTTACCTTGAAGTGCGTGTGGTCGGGTCTGGGTTGGGCGACGACCTTGCTCTGGAACGCGAATCCCGAGGACTGTAGGGGCTGCTCCGGGTTATAGACTTGTAGCTTTCCGTTGTAGTGGTACACGTAGTCCTTGCCCACTTCGAAGGCTGCATGTACCAAAAAAGAAAAAAAAAAGTTATTAAAATACGATCCACCAAAAAAAAACTTTTAGAAGGAACTTCTAGGAGGCTATACGGACGGAAGTTTGTAGAGTGGTTGCAATGTTAGCACAGGCCATCGCATACGCGCGATATCCCATCGCGAAACTTTTAGATGAAGTGGTCGTAGGCCCTACTCGACTCGGGCCTCATAAGATGCCTATCTTACCCGCTTACGCGCAAACTTGAATGCTACGATCCTTTGAAAAGAAACATCCAGTAAACTGATATCAAATATTTTTTTCTTCTCCCTTTCCAGCTGACGTTATGTCATAATCTCTATAAGACGATTCAAGGCCTCCTAAAGTTACTTTGGAGAGTAATATCATATTGCTGTTTTTGTAACATTTCTATCGAAATGTACTGGTGCACGCGGATGGTCTAAAGTACCGAGATAGTCTCCGGGGCCACACTGACTGCTCTCAAATAAATCCTCTGAGATGAACAGACATATTAAGACGGTTCTGTGACTGTCGGACGGGTTAGATATGGCTTCTCTTAGAAAAGAGCGACACGTAGAAAATAATCTGTGTAGTTGGAGCGGGTCTTACCGTCTTCGATCAGTAGATTTTGTATTTTAATGTGTGGATTTCACGAAATGGTAATTCTTGCTTATTGGGACTGCAAGAAGCTTCTAGTATTTCTCTTGAAAGTTTACGTAAATAATCCGACTGTACGATTGTATCACTTTAGATAGGATTAGTGAGAAGTATGTGGCTCATCCCGCTGCAATGAAGTGTTCGCACGAAGAGGTTACTTGTTCTGAGTTCTAAATAGTTGAGCGTGATGATTTCTGATTTACGATAACTCAAAAGGGACATGAAAGACAACTGCTTTGTTGTCTGCTTGTTTTCCATGTCCCTCTTTTGTTACCGTAAATTGGATGATCCGTTTATTACTAAAAAAAAAAAGCGAGGTTTCACAGAGTTCCACTCACCCGAAGCTGCAGCAAGGAACAGGACAGGCAGAACGTAGGGGACTCTCATGACGATGCAGTTCTTTACACTCCCATAGCCAAGGAGTGAGCACTGAATGGATCGCCTTCCCGGGGCAGGCTTAAGTAGGTTCGGGACCCCCCACAGCCGTTGGACAAGCAAGATTTTTTGTTTTCTTTTGTTGTTTGCTTCTGATACAGACGATAAACCGACGTCACGTGACAGGCTGAATCAATTCCTGCCTTCCTTCTTCGCCTCCTTCAAAGAGCGTAAGATTCTAGGAAAGCCTGAGTTCTTGCTGTATCCCAAAAGTCAGGCCTCTTTTAGGCGGTAGTGTATCCGTTTTCTTGATTGTGGAGCCGAGCTTTGGGTGTCACTTTGTGGCGATAATACCGGAGCGGGCAGTGAGGGGCATGTTACGGGGTGCACTGAGACTGCAACGACAGCTCCATAGAGAAAAGCGAGAGAAAAATATGATCTGTGTTTTTTACTCGAGTGGCTTCGTTGATAAGGCGGCGTGCTGCTGGGTTCTGGATTGGTATCTCCATGCGGGATGAATAGAAGCAGCCAGTGTGGAAGGCGGAAGATCTCGTCTCCAGAGGCTTGGTTTCGTTTGTCAACGGGAAGCGACGCTCGCATGTTCTTCACATGCTTGTGTCATCCTAAGGCAGTATGCGTATTCAGCCGAGGTAGCAAAATGCTCTATAGCGAAAAAACAAATCTGCGAGTATTTGGACATGAATAAGGTCTCGCTGACATTTGGGTCAGCTTACACGATACATAAAACGAGATTCTCGATAAACGGGAATCGCTTGGCTCCTGAAGTTTTCTCGCGTAAATGCGCCGGTCACAAATCTTACCGAGAGCCGACGTGTAGACGCGACGTAAAAGTGTGATGAAGTTGTTTTTTTATTTTTATACGTGGTGATTTCCATTTATTGTTTAGCAATTTAGATGCTCCACATTCCTATATAAATTGACAATACTATTCTATTTCCGAAAGAAGGCTGCAACGAAAGGATAACCCATTTGGTGCACGCGTTGTACGCTATCACTAATGCAAAGAAGAACCTGCTTCGTGCACTTTCTATCTCAAGATGTTTGGTGCGCAATTAATAACATCATGTTGGTGCACATGCTAGCTTTACCAGTACGAACAGTTCACTTAAAGAAGAAACAATAAAAATTCCAAAGGTATAGGAAACCAGGAAATCAAACTATAGTTCAATAGAACATACCCGGTATAACTACAGAGGCACCGTTTTATGCGAAAAAAGAAACACTTTATATTCTACATTACCCTTAACTGTTATAGATGATTCAAAACCGCATACTTCAGCCCCGTCTTTCTGGATGCAGATAAGGCAATCCGTGAGAACTCTTCTTCCTTGCGAGGTCTCATTTTGCGTGCACTACTCATTTATTTCATTTATTTATCCTTAAGAACCCGGGTGGGGCATTACATAAGGGGGAGAGTAGACGAGAACTAAAATACACTTTTACACTTGAAAACGACAAAAAAAGCAAAGGAGAGAGTCAAAATCGCAATAGTAAAAAACACAAAGTACTGATATGGTTTAGTCGGGAATGGTTAGTGGTTGTGTAATGAGACTTCCTGGCGAAACCTTATTGGGTCAGTAATGACTACAATGTCGTCGGGAAGGGAGTTCCAGACGGCTATTGCATGAGGGAAAAAGGAAGTATTGAAGGCAAGCGTTTTGCCCGCAATACGCTTGATGCATTGCCTGTGATTAAGGCGTGATGATACTTGGTCTGGACGAGCAAGAGGGGTGGTGTGGGATTATGGATAGTTATAGTACAACTTATGCAATAAATATAACCGAGACTTCAATCTTCGACTGGACACTAAGGGTAGTTCTAGAGTTTCTTTAGGTTGGGTTACACTGATGTCATGAGTATAAGCTGATGCGATGAATCGGGCTGCGCGGGTTTGTATGCGTTCCAGGTTATCAGAGAGGTAAGCTTAAAGAAGGGTGCCAGATGGATGACGCATATTTAAGCTTTGGTCGAACGAATGTTATGTATGCAAGCTTCTTAAGGTGACTGGGCGCGGACTTTAAATTATGTTTCAGGTATTCAAGTGTGCGTGATGCCTCAGCTACATTATCAACATGTAGCACCCAAGAACGCGTTGAGGTTAAATTTATTCCTAAGTACTTATAAGAAGACGAAGTATTAATTGGAGTGCCGCCGAGTGAATATAAATACGTATGTGTAGATTTTCTCCGGGTAAACGAAACTACTTTACACTTGTCCAGGTTGAGAGGCATAAGCCATTGTTCAAACCAGGTATTAATTTGTGCTTGGTCGTCCTGCAATATGAAATTGATGATCTGAATCATTTGTGAGTGGGCGATATATCACGCAATCATCGGCGAATAGCCTAATTTTCGAAAGGATGTCACGAGGAAGGTCGTTTATGTATATTAAGAATGGTAGTGTGGAGAGTCCTGCACCCTGGGGAACTCCTGATGCTACTTTACCAAGGGGTGATTTGTGATTATTAGCCAATGTGAACTGAACTCTGGAGGTGAGAAAATCCTGAATCCAAGCGATGATAGTCGAATCAATACTAAGAACTGAAAGCTTGGTGAGTAGATGACGATGCGGAACACGGTCGAAGGCCTTCACGAAGTCGAGAAATATTACATCCGTTTGGTAATTATTATTCATGTTAACAAGTAGGTCATAAGTAAACTCTGCAAGTTGGGTCTCGCACGAGGGACCTTTACGGAAACCGTGCTGGTGGGGGTAGAAAAAACTAATCGAGTTAAGGTGACTTATTATGTTCGAGCTGATTATATGCTCTAATAGTTTAGAAGGAACGCTTGTTAAAAAAATGGGGCGATAATTAGATACAATTGATCGATCACCACTTTTATGGACGGGGATGATTTTCCAAATTTCTCAGTCTTTTGGGCTTTGGCGATGTGAAAGTGATTGGGAGAAAATTAGTGATAGATAGTCACTTGCAACAATATTGGTGCTTTTAAGGATTTTGGTGCTGATGTTATCCATGCCAGCAGATGATGATAGCCTTAGTTTGTCAATTAAGGCACTTATTCCAGCAGATGACATAACAGTAGGTGGCATGATGGCACTAGACAATGAGCGGGGAGATGCTACTTCGCCAAGGCTCAAAATCATTTCTGTCCGTGAAGACAGAAATGAAAAAGTCGTTTAAGGCTGTCGCGCTTTCGTTCTCAACGATGGGATCTCTATTGCTGTCTGCCAGCGACAGAGATTGGGAGTAATATTTGGGTGACAGGAGCTGCCAAAATCGGGTTGGGTTAAAACGAAGAATGGAAGGCATGTCGGAAGATAAAAACTTTTCCTTAGCCCGTTTAATATTTTTGCATATTCCTTTGAAAGGAATATGCGAAAATCATTCGTATTGCTTTGAGCATTCGGATCACAATGTAGGAGCTCAAACAAAGTAGTCGAAAACGTCGCTTGTAAATTGTTTTGAAATACCACAAGACGTTTGTAGTGCGTGACAAGCATTGCGGATAAGAAACAGGGCAGCCATTTACCAAGATGTCCGTAAGAAGACTTACTGCACACTCGAACGTCGCCTTCTTTCACTATTTCAGGGCACAGATATGAAATCTGAGTTTGCAGCTTTCAAAAAAGATACAACGAGAGGCTTGCACGCGTCATTGCTGTGTAGTTTGGTAGCGATATTTCCAGCTTCGTAAATGTAGCAGTTCAGGGTACATTTGAAGCCACGTCCGTTTGTATCGGGATTTTTTTTTTTTTTTTTAAGAATTTTAGCCAGGAGGCAGGGAAGTTCAATCTTTCATGACAACACCCGAATTATTATTTTGGACATTTCACGAGCCTTTCTCATTTCTAATTACAAACCATAATTAGCGTTCTGGAATCTATTTTGAGTGGATTTATTAGAACCCCACTTGCTATGATCTACTTTAAGCCACATTCTTGTGTTCACAAATAAATATTTGATTGACAGGAAAGTTTTTCATGCATGTGGTCGCGTGTCTATCCTGCTAAATTGATTATATGCCTTGCATTTTGATTGCCCTATCGTAGAATATTTTTTCTTACATAGCGAACAATGGCAATGAAGCGACCAGAAACGTCGATTAAAGCAATTATGGCAAATAAACATATATGACTTTTGCGAAAGTTCCGTCATAAATCTGAACATGCCATCTGATGCATATTAACGTTTTTTTCAAAAGAGCTTTTTTTCTACATAGAAAGGAATTTGCAGTCATTACTTGCAGTATTAGCGCGATCAAACAATGTGTTTCAAGTATACTAACAATTAAACAAAGTGAACTTATACATCACAATATTTGTACTAACATATTGCCCGTATCTTTTATTTTATATTATTTTATTAGGGGGACTCCAACCCCAATTGTGGGTTGATGCTACTTTTTACGGCATGCAATCTCCAAGAAATAGGATACTAATGCTTTTTTAACCTCAATTGCTACGGTAAACTAGCTCGATACATCGTAAATAATAACAATAATTGTGATCTAAGAACAAAACAAAAACTTGCAATAATGCAAGACCGGGTGGCTCAGATGCTGAAGATTTCTTACGGTCTGTACCAAAGCCAAAGGAAAACGCGAACGCAGGGGCACATTGCAGGGGGCTAGCACTGACATAGATGGATAAGAAGGGATGTTTCCGCTATCGACTTCAAAACAAAATAAGTGTTCTGCCAGACAGTATGCTTTCTTTTCCTTTTTTTTTTCTGTAGGACTCTTTTTTTTGTACGTTTTTGCTTTGAAAGTTAGACGCGCCTTAGATTAGCAACTCAAGGTCAGCGTCTGCCTGACCGACACCGAGGCCACGCAAGCGGAAAACTAGCCTCCAAAGAAGACGGCTGGACTTGTATCATGCGAGGACCGCCTGCAATACTCAATGGAGATAATAGGAAAGTGGAATAAAGGACCCATGCAAAGCAAAACATATTTCCATGTTGTTGTTTATTTTTTGTCTTCGTCCTTTTTTTTTTTGTACCTTTAACTTATGAGCACGCTCTAATGTCTCGCTTATTAAATAGCT